ATTGATCCTAAAAATTGCTAGCATTGTATTGTTTTCACATCCTACATGTTTATGTTGTAAAATTGCAACATGTTTATTAATCCCAGGCCCTGAAGATGATCTCAATAAATATAGAAACGTTGGCACAATAAAGAAAATGTTTTTTGAAACCTACATCACACCAGACCGCATCTCATGATTTCCTAATAATCATCAACTAACGGTCACTGATCACCACACAAAATTGAATAATATTTTTTGCATTGGATTAACAGAAAAAGTTAAATTAAAAACAAATGCAGGATATTATCTGCGTGTTTGTCATTTGTCCGAAGATCGGTGATCCTTGTGATGCCCATCTGAGAGGGCATTCAACTGAAATAAATATGATTTTATCTGAAACGATTGTAACTATCACAATTGTGATGATGACTATTCTCTTGCATGGAAAAAAAAATTACCCTGTCCAGATTATTGAAATTACTTAGAATGCAGCATTTCCATCCGGGTAAAAAGAGGGGGGAGGTCATTTTAATCGTTGTATATCAATCTCATACTATTTTTTTTTAAATGAACAATGGCGTTTATGTAATTTTCTATTAGCCTTTTGTTCCTACTCGTTTTCCCGGTATAAAATAAAACAATAATATATATTTCCTACATATTTTCCCAGTCTAAAACGTGATTAATAACGTGCAACGAAGTACGTACGTAAAATATATACATCATAAGAAATATGAAGTTATGATACTTTTACAAAGCAAAATTCATGAAGGATTTCAATAAATCATTAGTGTTATATTGTTGTCTCTTATACATGAATTTATAAACCCTTGGGACCAAAATAAACATAGTTTATAAACGGTGATTAGAAAAATTTCTATTCTAGATAATCGATTAATACCAACATATACTATAATATATTATTGCTTTTATTAGGGTGATTCATGTACTCTTTGCATGTCCGAAGGATTTCTATTCTGTTTTAAGAATAAGTGATAAAACCTTGAAAGAATAAACATGCGATTTTTACTTACCCATACACGCACGTATAAAATAACATTAACGTAACATAACATAATATTGGAACAATCGTGCTATTTTCAAACACTTATTATAACTATGAAACATAGATTTTGTTATATTAATGTGTATGTGTTAAATTTGTACATGATATTAAAAAATATTTAGAAAGGAAAAACCTCATGGAATTTTGTAAATATCCACATTGGAAACAAATACTAACACAATAAAAACATACATATGAAATGTAAGCAGGAGAGTTTATATAAACTATAAAAAACATCAAGGTAAATTGATAAATTGTATATACGAGTGTGTCTCGTTCATACTTCAGGTTATCCTACATGTCAAATTGGACTTAAAAGTTTCTATTGTCTGATTTCCAATTGTATTCCAGATGTGTGTTTCATTTGTCGTGTTACTTCAACATTTTACAACTTTATTGCACAAAGGTTCTTGTATTTTTGTTACAATTTGATAACACCAATTAGAAAGAGCGTTCTAAACCCTGCGAGATTAATTTTTAATTGCTACCTTAAGCAACAAAAATACAACATAATACAGCAAAATATATCTGGAAACTATTCCGTCTTGCATTTTTCAAGGGGAAATTTTGAACATTTTATTTTTTAAAAGCTTTTTGGTTTTTCTTATGTTCAGTTTTGCACGATGCAGTTGTTTGTTTAATTTTTGATTTTACTTTCATTATCTTTAATAGAAATTTCAAAATCCTAATGTCTAATTTTTTTCTTAACGGTTGGTAACCGACAAATTAGTTTTTTTTTTGCAAATAAGCGTCCATTTTACACTGATGATAACTGACTTTTGAGAAATTAAGCATATGTGTGTAAAGCTCATTAGTAGCGAAACCTTTCTGTAAGCCCCATATATATGTATGGGGCCAAGGAAATCTTATTTAAACTTGTAAGATAAGAACTTTAGAAAAATCATACTGTTTATGTTTCGATTGTGAATTTCATTTTCTTAAGGTTACAATAAAGAATGTATCTTATACGATTTGTACTGCTCTTAACAATGACGTAATCAGATTTTCAGTTGGATTAATATTTTATCAGATACGGTGGCTTGAGAGAAAAAGTTATGAAAGGTAAAAAAATATTTGGAAGAAAATTGACAATCGGACTATGAAAAACAGAGACATTTTAGTCATATTTGACATGTAGAATAACGTCTTGAAGTGGAGTAACGTGTATTTACAATTTATTGATGGGCAACTTTTCTTTAAACGCCATATTTTTCGGTATTCACAGAGCCTAACCTTATATCCGAAGGTCGTGGGTTCGAATCCCGCTCGAGACACTGACTTTTTTATGTTAACCAAGACCTTACATAGAAAAAATAATTAATTGAAAGAAGTAACTCGGTCAATTGACCACTAAAACGTAAAATGGAGTAAGATTAATATTATATTCTATATGGGGCTTAATGGAATAACGTTGCAAAAGGTTGAAGTAACCTGAAAAGTAAAATATTTCGGATAAAATTGAGCATCAGATTTTGGACAGCAAGGAATTCTTCGTCCTATTTGACATGTAGCATATACTCCTGAAGTCTTGAAGTATTTTACATTGGCCATAACTTACCTTTGAGAAATTAAGTACGTGTTTTTACGGTTTATTGTTATGGTACTACTTTTCTGTAAACGCCATATTTTTCGTTATTCTCACAATTTAGAAACTCAATATTTAAGCTTTAGACAATAACAGTGAAAATTGGTAAAAAATTATATTCTTAGTTGTTTTGTATTTCGTTTGCTTAAGGTTACAAAACAATGAATCTCAGAGGGTCTGTTCTCTAAATGCTCTGTCCATTGTTGCACAATAAATTAATTCAGACTAAGATTAATGTTTTATTACGTACGGGGCTTAATGGAAAAACGTTGTAAAAGGTTGAAGTAACCTGAAAAGTAAAATAATTCGAATAAAATTGGTAATCAGATTTTGGACAATAAGGAAATTTTCATCTTATTTTACATACGCCTAAAGTATAGATGTCTGTTCACGGGATACCTGCATAAAATTATTTATACATATCATATGCGAGAAATATACAGGTAGCTGTATTTGTTTATGAAGTTATAGACATTCACGGTGAAAAATGCTTATTTATACAAGAACTTAAATTTACAAGGGGAGCTATGGACAGGGTTTCTTTGATTTTAACGACTTTTTTTTTATAAAGGAAAACTTCTTGCTAGGGGTGACTGCATGGTGACAGTATTATCTCCTCTTTCAGGAGGGTTAGTCTCTTAAGCCTAGTATGCACTTGAGATTCTTTGAATTGATTCATGTTGCGGGGTAGAGTCGGGGGTGCGTAGATTCATTGTTGCGATGCAGCCCCGACTCTGCTCCGCGACAAAGAACCGTGTCCAGACTAAGATTCAGTTCACATTCATCAGTGCCTGCGAAAATGACGGGGGAATTAGCTCTCAGGAATTTCCCTTGCTCTTTTTTTGCATTGTACTTAGTGCATCCAATCGGAAGTGCATTAAAAAACTGTCATTTTAAAGTGTGAATTTTTTTTTTCAATTTCGGCGACGGAAACACTGAATTTTTGGGTTAAACCGTTCAATGTTTGGCTTTTCAATTACCGATTTCTGTATTCCGTGAATGATACATCCCACAAACACCGATGGGAATGTATGTCTTCAATAAACTGTAAAGTCAACTCGTTACTCCACAACATACCTTGAATACAAGACAGTAGCAAAATCTTCTAGAAAACACTCACTAGAACGTTAACTAAACAAATGAAGCAGGGCGCTTGTTCCGATTCACGTCCGCACTGGCAAATGTTGCACAACATTGAGGCAAAGAATCCCACATCGGATGGGATTCAAAAGATCCGAAAATGCTAGCCCGCAACACACCAGATTCATCGCTACAATGAGTCGGGGCAGCCCGGACTCAGGCTAGACGCAGCCGAGACTCTCCGGAGATTCAAAGAGTCGACTCAAAGAATCCCAGTGCGTACTAGGCCTTATATCTTTATCATCTGATGACACAAAGCAGTCTGTATATGTAAAGGTACAGGTACTATATATGTGGATTTTTTTATGTTTTTTATGAGGATTCGTAACATCAGAGGTCATATGAACCCTCAGGATGCCGGTGATTTTGAAAAAACCCATTTGTAATTATGTCGGGTGCTGGATTCGAACCCTGGACCTTTACCTTACAGTGATGAGCGCCGTGTCAACGCGTAAACCGTTCCGGCCACCGAAGCCCTCTTAGATGCATATTTCAGTGATTTTATGATCTTTTAAAAATTTGCCTCCTAGCATTTTGCGTTAATTTATCAATTTAATGTTCTTACACCAGATCTACCAAAATTTTCGTAAGAATCAAACACTTGTTGTCTTCATTTTAAAGACGACTTTCGTAGGAGCCATGCAAACTGTATTAAAAAATATATATAGAAAACGAGATTGCAATGAAAATAAAATTGGATGAGAGGGAGAAGAAATTAACAAATTCCACGGAAACCCAATCCAATGGACCAATAATTATAAATGTCCAATTAGAAGTCGTTTTAACACTCATATATCGTTTATGCTGCCTAAGAGAAATGAAAAAACTAATCTGGCCTGTCCACTAACAGACATTTTCAACTGTTACATACTGCAGAAGAACCACATGACAGTGTCCTTGTCGTTTATTTAGAGATTTTTCTATTGTCCGAAAATTTTGATTGTTCATTACGTAATTATTAAAGCAAAAATTGAAGATTGTACCGATCGATTAATCCACTTTTCCACCAGATCCATCATGCCTCCGGTCCGTTTCCCGCGATATTCCTTCACAAACCCCGTGGGTATTTTCGACTCGGGACAGGAATAGACGGACAGACACACCAACAAAACTCTAATTCCAACTCCGGAACATTTCCCGTTATAAATAGTCCCAAATATGTTTCCATTATAAAAATGTACACGTGGTGGAACCAGGGTCTTTTTGAAATGTGTTTGTGTTTTTCAGGTAAGTCGACTCTCTCACTCTCTCACTTTCTCGGCAAGGGATCCGCGACCCGCCGGCTCACAGTACATCGTGAAAGGTTCGAACCGAACGCGAGTCATGCCGGATTCTGGTAACTAACAAATCATTTTCCTATTTTCCTTCTCATATATATTTTTTATCAGTCTATAAACCACCTCCTACATCCATTTCCAACCTCCAAATCATTCAACCGTTACGTATTCAAAGAAAAAAGACATACTTTCGTCATCCTAAAAGTGTAAAAGGATTGTCCTTATCGGCCCTCTCGAGATTTGTACATATTCTACATTCCAGAGGTTTTTTCTCGCTTTAGCCCTAAGCTAGCTGATAAACGCCCGGTTTTATACCATTTAAGAAACATATAAAACATTTTTTTTTTAAATAACAACAGTTACGGGTATTTAAAATAATTGATAATTGCAAAAATTAATCGTTTTTGAGAGAAGATAAATATTCAAAATAAATTCTTTTCAATTAATTAAGATTTTGGTTGAGATACAAAAGTACGTGTCACAAGCGGGATTCGAACTCACGACATTCGGCTAAATACGCCGCTGCTCTACCACTTTTTTATCTCAACCAAAACCTTAATTAATTGAAAATAATTTCTTTGGCCAAGCGGACCATAAAACCTAATAAAATTCAAAATAAAGGTGATTTTTGTATATTTTTGATAAGGATGCTAAATCTGTTGAAATAATTCTAGATTCCTATTACCACAAGTAGCCATAAATAACATTTTTACAAGCTTTATATAAACTATTAATATTTTGATTTTTCAGAGTCAATTATTATTGAATTATTTTGAATTTATATTATTTTGAATTGCGGGTAAAACCGTTTTTTTTTTTTAAATATAGCTGTATTTGTTTATGAAGTTATAGACATTCACGGTGAAAAATGCTTATTTATACAAGAACNTATATATATATATATATATACTTACTATATGTGTTAACTCGTAATTGTTAAGGTTTTGTTTGCTTGTCATGTTTTTTTCCCTTCTTCTTCTTCTTTTCCAAATTATATCACTGTTTATTGACCAAGAACACAGTATACAGCAGTAAAAATGAATCCAGAAAAAGAACATATACGTATGTACGCGTGTGTGTGTTGTTTAGGTTTTGTTTGCATGTAATGTTTTTTTCCTTCTTCTTCTTCTCCAAATTATATCACTGTTTATTGACCAAGAACACAGTATACAGCAGTAAAAATGAATCCAGAAAAAGAACATATACGTATGTACGCGTGTGTGTGTTAAGTCGTTATTGTTTAGGTTTTGTTTGCATGTCATGTTTTTTTTCCCTTCTTCTTCTTCTTCTCCTCCAAATCATATCACTGTTTATTGCCCAAGAACACGGTATACAGCAGTCAAAATGAATCCAGACAAAAACAAAAATGACAAGCAAATAAAAACCTAACTGTCGCGCGCGCGCGTGTGTGTGTGTTAAGTCGGCATTGTTAAGTTTGTGTTTGCATGTCATGCTGATTTTCTTCCCTTGGATTCATTTTGACTACTGTATACCGTGCTCTTGGTCTAGCAATAAATTGTGATATGATTTGATAAATAATTGAACATCAATCAAGAGGTGCTAAATAGTGAATAATATAAATAGATCAATCATACTTTAGAGAGAGGGAAAATGAATATTTAAAGTTCCCTTTATCACATGCTGAATGGCTTAAAATATCTATAGATTTCTCTCCGGCGGGATATATTTTTCTAATTTATATAAACTGAGAAAGTCGCAATATTTCTGGATATCTCGGGAGCATTCGATACTGTCAACATTAAGATTTTAAAAAACAAATTGAATAATTTGAACTTACCCTACACAGTAATCATTTCATACATAGTATCATTTCACTAATAACAAATCGTTCGATTCGAATTAAAGTTAATTATATATTAATAGGGCCTAGATTGACACAAAAGGGTCTGCCTCAAGGGGGCATCCTATCTTCGCTTCTTTATTCCATTTACATTAAGGATATTGAACAAATATTGCCAGATAATGTCCGCATTCTTCAATATGCAGATGATATAGTGGTCTTTATTACCCATCAATCACCTGTCAAGAAAAACTTAAGCAAGCTATAGATGCATTAGTTTTTCAGCAATCTAGGTCTCACTGTTTCAGAGGAGAAGTCAAATATTTGCATTTTCACTAAGAACAGATACATACCATTGAATGGAACACTACAGCTAGGACCCTATACATTTCAGGTGCTAAATATGGTACGAAACTTGGGACTTAAGTTGGTTACTCATCTCAAATGGGACTGGTATATTAATCATATAATTATTCAGAAATCGTGAGATGCAGGTTTCAGAAAAACATTTTCTTTATCGTGCAAACGTTTCGATCTTTATTGAGATCATCTTCAGGGCCTGGGATTTACAAACATTGTTTACATTTAACAAATACATTTAGGATGTGGAAAAGTGAATTTATACAATGCAAAATATATTTGTTATATTCAATCAAAATATTTCTACTCACTCAAAGTGTTTGTCTTCTGTGTAATTGTGCCATTCTTGCGTGTCGTGTTGAGAGTGCTAGTGAGATTTTGCTGTTTTATGTTTATATACGTTGGATGTTGAAGGGATGGGGAAGGAATTCGGTATAGAAAAGACATTTTTGTATAAAGCCAGGAACACACTTACCCGATGCTACGCCATGCGATGCTACCCGACGCCTTGCTACGTTTTGGTGGGGTGTGCACATCTATCCGACGCAAGTACACGTCGCGTACAGTCCACAGCGTTTATCACGATAATCACTATCACAATCGCAACGCATCTTTTGTTCTTAATGCACTATTTTGAGCAAAACCTTGTAATAAATTGTTAGTTAAATTTTATGAGCACAACCATCTAATAAATTGTTTGTTAAACTTAATTGTTTTAAATAAAGTTACTCCTAACCATCATAATTAAACAATGTTTATAAAAACTTATGCATTTTTGATCTCGTTTAATTTGGTTTACATTAAAATAACATGTTGTAATTAATATAACGACAAAATTACATGTACTTAGTTTGAAATAAACTACAAAAAATATGAGTGTCCTGTTCTGATGCTACCCGACATTACAAAATGGTGTAATTTTACGAGCAAAACTATGAAATAAATTGTTAATTAAATTTTATGAGCAAAACCGTGTAATAAATTGTTCCAATTTTAGTATATGTACCGCCGAAGCGAGTACAATAAATTGTTAGTTAAATTCATTATATCAAAAAATCGTATTCCGGTGTTTTGATTAATTTTCTACCAAACCATTAAAATTAATTTTTTAAATAAAAAGTAATTAATTTTTAATCACAGTTAATTTAGTTTATATTAAAATAAGTATGTTCTAATTAATATAACGACAATAATACATGTAGTTTGAATAAAAATATGAGTGTCCGGTTCTTTTGTCTTCGACTGTACTCGATGCGACCCGACGAAAATCTGGACAGTGGGGATCGCAGAGCGTCGGGTAGGTTAGCGTGGCATAGCATCGGGTAGATGTGCACGGGGGTAATGCAACCTTATGGAAAATCGGAGTTTGGATTTGCGTCGGGTAGCATCGGGTAAGTGTGTTTCTGCCTTAAGGCGTCGGCTTCTTTGAGGTGAAAAGAGCCGACGAAGGAAAACAATGTATTGGTAATGATTCTGCCAGATTATCCTACATCACACCAGACCGCATCTCACGATTTTGAATAATTATCGATTAATCACCACACATTAATCATATAGTTAACACTTCTGAAAAATATTTAAATCTAATGAGAATGATTTGTTACAAAAACTGGGGAGCTGATCCAATGATATCCTTACGATTTTATAAATCAACCATCAAGTCGCTGATCGATTATGGATGTGCACTATATGGACAAGCTAGAAAATCCCTCCTAAAAAAGTTGGACGTGTTACAAAACAAATCCATTAGATTAAGCTTAGGATGCCTTCAATCCACTCCTATAAATGTTGTTGAAAGAGAAGCAGGAGTCATGCTTCTTAGAATAAGAAGAAAACTATTAACCGATCGAATTATTTTACGGATATTGGCCTGTTATCCAGATATAGCAAAGGATATTGGTAGACTAGCTGTTAAGGATCTAACTTACGCTTTTTGAAGGAAGCAACCTTCTCCACCACTATTAGAAAGTTTTACCATGTACAGTAAACATCAGGGGCTGATACATAATTCAGAAAGATTACCGATCTTTGAAAACGATTTCATATACACTTTAATGAAAGTTAAAGTCGCATATAGTCGTCTAAATAAGAATCTGAACCCATATTTGGTAAATCAAGAATTCACAGCTGAGTTAAAAGATCGATTCCCTAATGCTTATGTTTTGTACACTGATGGTTCTAAAACAGGAAATAACACAGGATGTGCTTTTTTACGATCCACTCACGAAATACAAAAAACAAATATGCCTTCCAGGAGTGGCATCCATTTATACGTGTGAGAATTATGCAATTAAGGAAGCAATGCAATATTCAATTGAGCGAATTCAACCGGGTTATTTTATTATTATATACGGGGTATTTTATTGTTACTGACTTGAAAAGCGTAGCTGATGCTATAAATTCGCAAAACTCAGGGGTACTTAATAACCCATCTTATCATCCAAAATCGAATTCTGTTCGTGCGTACGAAGAAAATAAGATTAATATTGAATTATTTTGGGTACCTGCACACTGCGGAATTCACGGTAACGAAATAGTGGATGGGATGGCAAAGAAAGCAGCTATGCAAAAGCTTCCCATTAACACAACAATAGATTTTAAAGATTTCTATTGGTTATCGAAGAAGCAATGTTTGGACTCTTGGCAGCAAGATTTTATATATATATAAGTGGGAAGTTTATGGGCCAACAAACAGCTGAGGTCATCGCCGGCCCTCTACGTGTTTTCCATCTTTTTCTTTTCTTTCGCGCATATTTTGTTTTAAACTGCAGCCATTTGAGCATCTCGATCTGGCTACTGACTCTCTGATTTCAGATACATACTACGTTGATATTCTAGAATGCTAGTACCTCAGGTTGTCAAGTACAGAATAAAAACAAAACATACAATACATATATA